GAATGTGGGCCTGTGATTGGAAGGTTCAACTCCCTGGACAGACAACATCAAAATGTGTGTAAGAAGGTGAAGCACCCACACCCGCCCCCACCCTCATTCGTCCCACTCTGGGCCCTTGAGCCAGGCCCTTAACCCCCACCATCTGCTCCCCCGGGTGTCCTAGAGAGCAGCTCTGTGCTCCACACAGAGGCTGTGGTAGCTCGGTGTCTGTGGTGGTGTCAGGAAGGACCTCTAGTGCAAGAACAATCACCACGTCTTCATGTGAGTGAGTTCTCTGTGGCGACCCCTGAAGAAGGAGCAGCTGAAAGAAGATTTAATTTTTTGTTTGTTTTTTTTACTTTAAGAGCACAAACCCATGTTTTGTAAACCATGATGGTTTGGGCTGACGGTTCACATCTACAGGACCTGGGCACCTTGCAGTCACTGAGTGAACCATGAGCCCCTCTGTCTGTAGGACCATCAGTCAACCACATGAAACTTGATCCAAACTGAATCAAAAACCAAACATGTACATGTTGTTCTACAAACCTCTCATTTATGAGCTGTATTTACTTTTTGTACTCTCCATCTGTGTTTTACTTCATGTTTTATGGAATGCCATTGAGAAAGTGAAGTTATGCACCTTTTCTCGTTCAACCTTTATTTAGACAGGTAATCCCATTGAGCCTCGAGGACTCATTTACAAGAGAGACCTGATAGAGACCTTACATTGTGTCTTCTGGATTTGAGCTTATTTGTGCCAAATGGTATATTTATTGTGCCTTTAAATAAATCTTAAGAGTTTGAAACAAAGTGCAGTTACTTTTTACCAAAAGTAGAACATAACATTTGTACTTTTCCACTATTTAAATTTTTGATGGGACTGTTGATTTTATGTTTCTCTTTGAATTTATAAAACAGCTAGCTGATAAACACTGGTAGCTAACCTTATCTTTTTACTGTCTGCTGCAAAGGACGGTGTGTAATAGAAAACTAAAAACGGTTGCAGCTGGAAAACAGGTCCTCGAACCAAAACAGGAAAGCTCTACGTAGGCCGTGAAACTTTAGGCACAGTTGGCTGAAAGATACCATCAGTCAGCAGAATTATGTCAGCTGCAAATTAAAAACCAATCATACTAATCATAAAGGCCAAAGGTTTGTTTTTTGCCTGTGTATGTGTGTGTTCATTTACCTCAAATGTTAGCAAAGTATCTCAAAAACCAGAAAGTAATCATAGGATGTACATTTACTAGGGGTGCACTGATTGCAGTTTTCTGGCCGATCCCCGATCCCTGATTTCTAAAAAGTCTGACCTGCCGATTCCGATTTTGTTTTATAAGCAACACTGTCAGGTGTTATAAGGTCACAATGCCCCTTCAGTTTTCCAGTATTACTTTAGAAGAACTGGATCGTTTCAAATTCACAGGTTTTGTCCTGAAAGGTAAACCTGGTAAATTTTCTGTGTGGTGGATAAATGGTGATATGAAAATGAGCGTCCGCCAAATCAATTGTTACAAACCAATCTGCTGGACGGATGGACCGACAGATGTTTTGTGTGTTAACATTCTGAATATATATCTGCATAAATGTCTGTTTAGCACACGCAGATCTAAAATGGGGTGGAGCGAAGTACCTTCCTTCTTTGGAATCAGAAAGTATTGAGAATAGAAGCCTTGGTGCGCTTCTTTGTTCGGTATTACTCTGATGGCTCATTTGTTTAAAAGAGAAGCAATCTCTTCCTCCAAAACGTGAGTTGAATCTCCGCTGGCTACAGAGAGAACACCATCGAATCTCGGTGGCTTCGTGTTGTACTGAAGTCTGTACCCCCGGGAAATTGTGGTCATAAACCATGGTAAAAATGCGCATGCGTACCACTTTTCCTCTCATACCATACCGAGCGCTGTCCCCCTGCGTCGCAGCTGAGTGATGTCATACTCCTGCCAACTGGACTCCACGTTTTCCTTTGAAAGAGAGGAGCGCCCTCTGTTGGGCACGAGCTAATACAAAGTTTCATGTTTTTGTTGGTAATTTTGTAGGGTGCATTCTGCCCTTAGTACGTGCCTGGCTGCAGAAATGCATTCTTTATTTTTATTGTTTCTCCCTGAACTGTGAAAAATCACATCATGTTGCTGCTGATCTGTTTCATGTTGATGTGTTTATGCGTGCTCATCTGCTCACACTGACTCATGCTCATGTTCGTGCTGCTGTTTGACATAATGTTTTTATGCTACTAGTTCTTAGTGTATTTTAAGTTGATGTTTTTCTTAGTTCATATCTTAGATGTTATCAATGTTTTTCTTTTACATTTTATTGTTGGCTGTAACTGGGACCCTGTGCACATACTTTCGTTCCACCACATGTACCACATGTGGTGGAACGACAATAAACAATCCCTGACTCTGAACAAAATGAGGCATTCTGGGACACTGGTGAGTGTTTGGTGACACTGAGCGAGTGATTTCGAGTGTGTGATGCACATTCAGTGCTTGGTGACACTTGTTTTTTCTGCCTCACGGTCTCTTCTCTCTGAACATGAGAGGGCTGAACAAACATCACTTCTGCTGAACTGGGAACTGCAGAAGTGTGCGAACATAGGCAGGTTTCCTCTTCTGCCAATTTACTCCTTTTCACTGGAGATGGAAAAGGTGGGTGTGTTAGGTCGTCCGCCTTTTCTTGTCCTCGCTGGGGTGGGATGGACGTTTCCTTGTGGCTGCTGCAAAGGAGTGCTTGCCCCAGGGCCTTGGGTTTGCCCCTTCATTTTACTGGTTAGGGTGACCAGCTGTTTGTCTGGGTGCATTAGAGCCACCCTGCCGCCCCCTTGCTGCTGCCATCTATGCTCCAAACCCGGGTCCTGGACCCTGAGCTGGATGGGAGTTCGATTTGCGTGGCAAGCAGATGTTAAAAGCCTCACCCGCCTGTTTCCTAAGGGTGCTCGTCTCTCTCATCTTCTCCAAGGCTGGGCCGAAAAGACCTTTGGTTGGGTCGTAGGCTGCGTCCTCTGCTTTCTGGGAGTCCCCCAGGCCTGACAGCTTCAGCCACAGCGTCCTTTTGCCTGCAACAGCAAGTCCCATGACGTGACTGCTGCCCTGGACAGCTCCTCTGGATGAGCGTAGGATGAGATCATTAACAACACAAATGTCATCCCACAGTGCGGGGTTAGGTGACCCCGAGTCCAGCTGGCGGCCCATCTCCTCAAGGATCTCTGCTTGATATGCTGACAACAGTGTGACAGCATTAAGAACACACAGACTGTCCAGCGTATGTGTACATTCTCTGATAAATCGATGCCGTGAGGCGGACCGATTTAGCTGGGAGAGAAATATTAGTAGAGGCTGAAACTGACCTGTGGTTGGGGTGGAGGTGGTACACCATTGAGGGCTCCACTGCTGGGGGTTTGGTCAGCCCCAACTCATCCATCCATATTTCAAGCTTGGAGCAGCCCTCGGTGGGGAGCCTGCTCCTAAAAGGGCTGGACCAGTGACGACTCATTTCCCTCATCTGGGACAGCTGGTAAAAGCTGTTTGCTTGGCATGGAGGCTGGTGGGAGCCTCTTCCCATCATACAGGTCTCTTTCTGTCCCCCCTGCATCCTGGGTTGCAGGCCAGGGGATGTTCAGCTTTGACACTGCCCTTCTACAGACATCATACAGGTCACTATCTACCGGAGGTACCGCCCCAGCCCTGCTGGGTGGCCTCGAGTGTGGGGCCGGGAAAGTAGAGTCAACTTCCTCTTCCTCATCTCGTCCATGTCGAGGAGGTTGGAGTTAGCGTCACCCTCCGCCTTCTCCTGACCTGTTTCAAAGTCCCCTCCATCCACCAGTCCTTCAAAGAGTGGCGACATGACCGAGGACACCTCTTCCGTCATGTCCACCCAGCTCGTGGTGGCTCGAAGCTGATGGCCGTCACCTGTTACCGCGGTTGCGGACAGGCACGGGTCCTGGATGTTCGTGACTGCCACTCTCAGCCTCCTTTCTAGAATTTTTTCTGACACGGAGGAGCAGTGCAGACACGCCTCAGGGTTTGCCAGTGACGTTTGTGTGTGTTTAGTGCCCATGCATATTATGCTCATAGGGTGAAGGTCCCTGCCCGAAATTGAGGCCCCCATATGACGAGGAGCATGGGTTTGGTACAGCCTCTTTAGCGTTAGGTGCCGACCCTTTGGTCGGAGTAGGAGTCGTAGACATAATGAGACGAGAACTAGTTCGTTGTGACACACTAACTGTCCATCGCTAAAGCTAGCTGCGGGGGGTTAAAACCATGCTAACAGCTAGGCTAAAAAAAAAACTTGTCGTAACGTTAGCTGGAAAGAAAAACCCTAAAGGTACCAAGCTAATGCTACCTCTAAGGAAAGCTAGCTTGCCTTGACGCGTTAGCTTGAGTTACACCTGTAACCACTCGATTATTTAAAAACTGAGCAGTGGGAACAGCTCGCCTTGACGCGGTCACCGCTCCCAAATGCAAAAAAGATACTTCTTATGAAGCCCCAATTTACTCAACACAGTTCAAGCTGATGCCAGGAACTGCATTCGGCGACATACTCCTTTGTGGGACGCCTGGGAACTGTTTAGCAGCTAGCCTGACTGCGCTGAGGGAGCTTGTAGTTTCTCACGGGAAGAAGGCGAGAATGAGTAGGAGGTGGTTGGTTGGCTGTGGTGTCATGATGGGGGCGGAGCCCTGAGCACAGCTCAACCGGTCTGTCTTTGACAGACGTAATGTCATTGGAGCTTCCGTAGATGGACCGCTAGAGCGTTTCCCATAGTGAAACACCGAACGAAGTTAGAAAAAGAATCTTAGTTTAAAACTTTGGAATAAAAGTTAGCGAGCAATATGCATTCCATCAAGAAATACTACGCCTTAAATTGTTCTACACTTTTTTCCCTGACTGATGGTCAGACATGCTATGTTTTCTTTTCATCAAATACTGTAATCGAGAGCAAAATAGCACTGAACTTGAGTAATAACGCTACGAACAGCTGCTTCAACAACACATGCTTGTTTTCCCTCCAGGGGTTTGCCACTCACCCCTGGATTTCGTCGTCAGAAGGTGTGTACTTGGCGGTGACGTCGGCCAGGTCTCCAAAGATCTGGGCGCTGTAGATGGTGAGGCAGGAAAGCAGGATGAGTTCCTGCCAGGTGGAGCTCAGCAGGCATGTGTAGTCCTCTATGGAGAGCTCGCAGAAAAATGGCAGCTTCTTGATCCAAGAGATCTGGCGGAAGAGCAGCTCGTCTGCCAGACGACACAGCAGAGTGAACAGCTCCACCTGGGTCAACTTGTACCTGGATTCATCAAGAACAAAAATAATTCATTTGAAGTTTTACATGCTGAGAACCGACAGAGGTGCAGCTGTTTTCAACAAACATTAAAATGAACTTTGCACACAATCTCATGCATTAGTGTGATGTGTCAAACTCAGTGTGTGTTGCTAATGACCCTCAGCTACTACCAAACAAATATCAGTAAAATCTACTAAATTTAAGCAATTTTGTGAAAGATGTTTCAATAAATTCCATTGAACAACCACACTAATACCACAGATGTGGATCTGGATGATTGAGCATGAACTTTGTTGCACAGATGTAAGCAATTATATTATTGTTAATGGACAGTACTTATATAACAACTTTCTGTCTTATTTCAAGACACTCAAAACTCTTTACAACAATCTGTGCCTCATTTACCCATTCATACAGCTCTATACTAGATCTCTACAAAGATTAATCAGAGCTTTATCACAGTCATACACTGATGGGACACACATCAGAGGCAATAGCTATGTTTACATGCGCAGAATTCTTTGACCGGTTTGAATAATTCAAATGTGTTGTTTACATGGGCACAATCTGTTCATGATGAGCGTTCACATGCAGCGAGCTTTGTTCTGAACAGCAGTACTGACATGCGCAGAGTGGTAAACTCTCCTTAAAAAAACACAGAAGAAGAAGTTCTACTTCCGGGTGAACGTAAACAAACCTGAGCACCAAAATGGACCCGTGACAGGTTTTAATGATGGTGGAGACGTTACTGCACTCCCTGACTGAGCTACAGGTGATTCAGATCATTCTGAGCTCTTTAAAAGTTTCTAGTAGAAATGTTGTCGCTCACCGACCAGTTTTACTTCCCTGACATGCTAATATTATTAGCGTTAGCCAGGCGGAAATGGCAAAGTCGCACATGCGCAGTCAGGTCAGTTTTTCACCATCAGATAAAAACGAACAGATCAAGCGTTTACATGCGCACCGATCGGGTTTCGGATCGTTGTAAACCACCCGTTTCGTTCTGATCAGAAATTATATCGGATCGCGCTGAATACACAAAAAATAACCCGAACGGAGTGTTTACATGACACACTTTTATTCCGACCGGCCATTTGATCCGGTTACTTACAGTGGGGAGAACAAGTATTTGATACACTGTTGATTTTTCAGGTTTTCCCACTTGCAAAGCTTGTAGATGACTGTAATTTTTATCATAGGTAACTCTTCAACTGTGAGTGATGGAATCTAAAACAAAAATCCAGAAAAATACAATGTATGATTTTTAAATAATTAATTTCCATTTTATTGTGTGAAATAAGTATTTGATACACCAGAAAAATGAAACTTAATATTTGGTACAGAAACCTTTGTTTGCAATTACAGAGATCAGACGTTTCCTGTAGTTCTTGACCAGGTTTGCACACACTGCAGCAGGGATTTTGGCCCACTCCTCCATACAGATCTCCTCCAGAACCTTCAGGTTTCGGGGCTGTCGCTGGGCCACACGGACTTTAAGCTCCCTCCAAATATTTTCTATGGGATTCAGGTCTGGAGACTGGCTAGGCCACTCCAGGACCTTAAGATGTTTCCTACGGAGCCACTCTTTAGTTGCCCTGGCTGTGTGTTTTGGGTCGTTATCATGCTGGAAGACCCAGCCACGACCCATCTTCAGTGCTCTTACTGAGGGAAGGAGGTTGTTGGCCAAAATCTCACGATACATGGCCCCATCCATCCTTCCCACAATATGGTGCAGTCGTCCTGTCCCCTTTGCAGAAAAGCATCCCCAAAGAATGATGTTTCCACCGCCATGCTTCACGGTTGGGATGGTGTTCTTGGGGTTGTACTCATCATTCTTCTTCCTCCAAACATGACGAGTGGAGTTTAAACCAAAAAGTTCTATTTTTGTCTCATCAGACCACATGACCTTCTCCCATTCCTCCTCTGGATCATTCAGATGGTCATTTGCAAACTTCAGACGGGCTTTGACATGCGTTGGCTTGAGGAAGGGCACCTTGCGTGCACTGCAGGATTTTAATCCTTGACGGCGTAGAGTGTTACTGATTGTTTTCTTTGAGACTGTGGTCCCAGCTCTATTCAGGTCATTGACCAGGTCCTGCCGTGTAGTTCTGGGCTCATTCCTCACCTTCCTCAAGATCAATGATGCTCCACGAGGTGAGATCTTGCATGGCGCTCCAGACCGAGGGAGATTTTCCATTATTTTGTATTTCTTCCATTTTCTAATTGCACCAACTGTTGTTGCCTTCTCACCAAGCTGCTTGCCTATTGTCCTGTAGCCCATCCCAGCCTTGTGCAGGTCTACAATTTTATCCCTGATGTCCTTACACAGCTCTCTGGTCTTGGGCATTGTGGAGATGCTGGAGTGTGATTGATTGAGTGTGTGGACAGGTGTCTTTTATACAGGTCACGAGTCCAAACAGGTGCAGTTAATACAGGTAATGAGTGGAGAACAGGAGGGCTTCTTAAAGAAGAACTAACATGTCTGTGAGAGCCAAAATTCTTACTGGTTGACAGATGATCAAATACTTATTTCACACAATAAAATGGAAATTAATTATTTAGAAATCATACATTGTATTTTTCTGGATTTTTGTTTTAGATTCCATCACTCACAGTTGAAGAGTACCTATGATACAAATTACAGTCATCTACAAGCTTTGCAAGTGGGAAAACCTGAAAAATCAACAGTGTATCAAATACTTGTTCTCTCCACTGTATGTCCATGTAAACATATCCACTGAGGGGTTCACTGTCTTGCCCAGGGACACTTCAGCACGTGACTGCTGGTGGAATTGAACCCCCAACTCTCCCATTGGAGGGTGACTACTCTAGCCACTCAGCCACAACCGCCACAGAAGAGGTCTGTGAGTATATGTTGTGAATGACTTCCAGCTACTACCACGCTAAATTTGAGCTTAGCACCTGTACAATTGACAGTGTTCCATTTCGTAGATGATAAGACTCATTTAGTGCTGGCTACAGTCTGATTAGCTGTGGCAAACACCTTGGTTGGACTTTTGGTTATGTTACATTCTGAAAGTTTTGGATCACGAGCTATTTTTTGCTAACAGACAGATGCACAGACAAAATCATTATTGTCCACCTCCACCTTTTGGCAGCAGGAGATAATTGGGATGCAGCTGAAATTTCAATAAAATAAATTAAGAGAGGATACATCTATCATTTATTTAGAACAACTAGGAATGTCCACATGTTGAGTGGTACGCTCTTTGTGCATTACTCACCCATCTTCTATGAGCATAGGAGTGGTCAGGGGGGACAGGTCCTCAGCAGCCACCAGCTGCAGCACCAGAGGGTGGGACTGTGGGTAGAGGCTGCGAGGCTGGGATGTCAACAAGCCGGACTGAGCAGCGTAGCTAAAAAGGTGAGGTAGAAGCTGGTAGTGTGAGGACATGGAGTTGTTGAAGTACTGGTCCCCCAGGGCTGCGATGTAGCCATTCATCTCTACAGATCGGCTGATGGCGCAAAAGGGTCAAAGGTCACACAGGATTGTCCATACAGTGCCTTTTGTACATAAAAACAGCATAGTGGTGAGAAAGAGCACAAATTGGCTAATATTAAACTTCCACGTTTGTGCATGACCAAGTTTCTTCAGCTTGTGGTGGTTTTCAATCAAACATCTGTGTTCCTACACACAAACTGTACGTGAACGGAGCTGGAGCTGCAAACTCATTAAAGCTGCAGTAGTTGAGTAAACCTTTGGACTGACCCGTTCAGCAGAGACATGGTCTCAGGACAATGATGGTCGCACAGCAACGCTGCTCAGGGGAACAATAACAAACTAAACAAATGCTAACGTGTTGAATCAGCTAATTATTATTATATTATTTGTTTTATAGACCTAAAAAAGGATACAAATACAGATCCTCATTAAGCCATTCTGAGGAAAGTATTCTGCCCTTTTCTACATATTCTGTGTACTTTGAGGGATGAGGCGCTAACTACTGACAATTATTGGACAGAACATCCCTTTAAAATTGACCAGACTATCTATTTACCCTTTAAGGTTTATCTGGCAGTGGAACATTCTCTTATCTATTAAAAATCTTAGCATTTTTTCCACAAACTTTTAGACAAAACTGGATTTTGTTCTTGCATACCAAAGCCCACGCTGCACAGGCACTGCTGTTCATTTCTACGAAGATTCAGTTTGATAAACAACTATTCCATCAAATAGTTATCAGACATCGTAACTGCCGAGATAAACTGAATGTTTACGTAGAATGAGACTAAAATAAACGCCGCCATGCCTGAACCTAGACAATATTTGTCCTTGATGAGTGTAGACAATCCACTCAACTCCACAACAAGAGAAGCAGATAGTGCAGCGAGTTCTTTGGATTTGCTATCAACTCTACGCCCGAGTAGCTGCATGATCAAGCATTCTTCGGCTGCTGAACGCTTGAATAGAAGTTTGGGTGAGAATGAAGCAAGGACAGGTGTTAGACTGTCAGGGTCGAAACGTTATCTCAGTTACGGGAAGAGTTCTGGTGCAGTGCGTCTTAGATCAGCTGGACGACTCACCTGGATGACAGAGTGGAGGCAGGTGACGGCTGGTTGCCCTCCGAGGCTCCGTTGCTGGGGGAGCTGTGGTCGCTGTCACCATTGTTGCCCCAGGGGTGCTCGGGAGCATCCTCTTTAAACTCCTGCCCCGACATGATCCTCTCTATCTCCTCCTCTGTGATCTGAAACCCACACACACATGCACTTAGAACTTGTGCATTAAAAATCCCTCTGAGCCACCATTTAATTGTTTAGCATCGATGAGTGCTGCAATGCTTTTCAGTCAAACACCACGGAGCAAGGACACAAGTGCACAATGAAACATGAACTCAGTATTGACAGAAGGACGGTATTTTACTGATTGGTGCCCACACCTAAAATAATAGAATCTTTGTGGGTCAGTGGAGGCAGAACTGCTAACAAAAACTACACTGAAAGGCCTTAATGTCCTAGAAAATGTGGTGTCCTGTATCTATGACTGGGGTCAATTCACTTTCATTTTGATTAATTCTACACACAAACCAAAACAAGCAATTCATTCCATATTAATGAGAGAAAGGTCTTCCTTCCAGCTCAGCCTGGAAATAAAGGCATCTCTTAATGGAGGCGGCTGCTTCTGTGTTTTCAACAGCTGAATTGAGCAGGGATGAATCGACCACATCGCTCGGCTGAATAGCGGTGCTGCGGCACTCATCCTCATGTCGCACATTTTTCTGACCACTTAAACATTTGTCACTGTTCATAATGAAGCAAAGGCTGAATGGGAATAATCAGTGGCTGCATGACTGGTGATATAACAAGGTCAGGGCTCTTTCTCATAATTTCACTAGCAACTACACGAGTAGCGCCTAAGAACTCAAACTCTTAGAAACTCTTAGTGAGGTGGAAGACTCATTCTTTTAAGGTACTCACTTTGTGTGAGCTATCTGTGCAGCAGAGCCAGGACTGTGTGTGCAGACCATGTTAGAAGAAGGTCAGAGCGTGTCACCAAATCAACAGCTGATTTACCTGCACAGGCCCGATGCTTTTGTTCCTCCCTCCTGGCATGCCATCCTCCCTGATTGCTATAAGATTTTTAAAAAAGGAAGAGGGGGGAAAGTCAAATGAGCTCCACTGAACAACAAGTATCACAGCTCTACCTGGTGGCTGGAACATATATTATTATTGTTATTAATAAAAATAACCTAGTTCCATCTTATATTACAGATCCATGATTTTTTCTCTCTCATCCCAAGAAATGAATTAGTAAGTGCTGTGAGACAAATTTTCTCCACGCCTTATGTCAAGCTGGCCTTAATGAAAATGAGGTTTTCAGCAGTGTTGCCAGATAGAGTAGACGTTTTCCAGCACAAAAGTCTGTTAAAAACCCGCCCAATCAATATTTTGTTACATTTCCTGTTTGAATACACACACACAAATATATATATATATATATATATACATATATATATACATATATATATACATATATATATATACATATATATATACATATATATATATATATATATATATA